CCGTTGATATTTACGCCTCTGCCACTAATACGAGTTATCGCCGGCTCGCTGACATAACTGGAGTACCAAAATCTACCATATCGCGTGTCTTACGACAAGAAAGTCAACTGCGTGAGGAATTGGTTTTACAAGAAGAACAAGCAGGAACATCCAAAAGGAAACGCGAGGGGAAGGATCCAGACGTCGAAGAAGCACTAGATCAATGGTTTTCTATTGTTAGTGGCAGAGGTGTAAATATTCCGATATTGAAGGCGAAGTCAGGAGTTAGATAAAAAAGGGCCGCAATGATTTCAAAGCAACTGACGGGTGGTTATCGCCATGGAAAACAAGACACAACATTAAATTTAAAAAAGCGCACGGTAAAAAGGGCAGTGCTGACAAGGAGATATGACTTTGGATCTGTTTTAAATTAGATGGTTCAGGGAAATTTATAACAGCTTGCGTCAAGGTGGATGGGAAAATTTTACCCTCTTCTATGACATGGCCTAAAAAGTCAATTCGTTTCTTTAAGAATTTGGATTTTTTAAAATTTATTTCCAACCCATATTCACTCGCTAGATTTAAAACTTGACTCAGCCTCTCGATTCCCTCTTCGTATGAGGCGAACAAAATTATGATATCGTCCATGTACGGCAAAACGATGCCTTCGTTAACTAAGAATCGGAAAATGGTATTTATGAATCTCTGGAATACAGCTGGTGAGTTAGAGAGTCCAAACGGCACTTTCAAAAACTGGTACTGTCCTTCATGCGTAACAAATGATGTGTACTTCCGACTTTCCTTTTCGACGTCCACGTGAAAAAAGCCATTTTTGAGATCAATAGTGCTGAAAACACGTGCTTCTTGAAGGCGGTCTAGGATATCCTCAATCAGGGAAGGGGAAATCTATCCTTTACGACAACTTTGTTTTAAACGACGATAATCAACGCAAACTCTTGGTGTCCCGTCTTTCTTTTTAACGATGACCAATGGGCTGGAATATTCCGAAGAACTCTGTTCTATAATTCCTGACTTTAGCCATTCGGATATTTGGGTTTCAACAATTTTCTTTTCCGCAAACGGTAATCTACGCGGTTGATGCGATACTGGTTCGTTATTTTTAACGCAAATTTTTAACTGTATGTCCGTAGATTTGGTCTTACGTGGCATATAGTTCGAAACTAACTGTTGAACAGTCTCTTTAAAGTAGTTTGGAACACTAGGTGCAATGTTTATTTCGTCTTCGTTACTAGCTAGGTCAACAGGTAAAACAGATACAATATTTACTTCCTCTACACTCTGTGACTTATTTTTTATGGTAACCCCATTTTCGTTTATTAATATTTCACCTTTTAATATTACGTTTAAGCCTAAAATGGCTTCATGTGTCATTACATTGTTGTCTACAACACAAATATCTGCAGTACACTGGAAATCATTAATTTTAATATTACCTTTAAAGAAACCTAGAGGTTTTACTTGACATTTACCGAACCCACTCAGCGTTGAACTTACGGGCACGAGGCCTTCGATATTCAGTTTATCAAAAGTCGATCTACGTAACAAAGTAGTTTGACTTCCTGTGTCTATTAACGCGGTTACATATACATCATTAATTTTTACTTCTTTGGTCAACTTCGAGACTACATCAATATTCACGGTTGATACTTCTGGATTTCGAATTCGTATTTGAGCATTCGAAACTTCGGTGCCCAAATTCTTTACGTTTAAAGCACTTGACTCCCTTATCTTTATGAACACATAGTTTGGAAATATGACTGTTTTCACCGCAGTTGAAACAAGTTGTATTACGTTTAATTTCAGGAATTTTCTTCTACTATCGGTTACGTTACACTTTGTTTGGTTAACAGAATTATTTGAGTCATATTTATGTCTAGATTGAATTTTTTCTTTACTTTTAGATTTTGCTTTTGACGTTCGCAACTTTTCTTCATCCTCACATATCTGTTGATAAAGCTTCAATTTGTTCTTAAAATCAGTTAATGTTTGTGACCCATACAAGCAAGATTTTTTAAACGCGGATCCTGGTATACCATCTATAACATATCGTATTAAAGCAACATCTTCAATTTGACCATTTTTAGCAATTCTTTTCATATTTAAAAAAAACTCATCAAATGTTTCATTGCTCTTCATTTTTTGTTTTGATAATAACTCATGCAGTTCGGCCGAATTGCAGCTGGACCGGAATTCATCAAGAATAGCATTCTTAAAAACTTGCCATGAGTTCAACTTTGGTTCACTAAGAACAAATAGTTTTGCTTTGCCTGTCATCAGGCGTTTAGCAAAAATCAGTTTTTGTAAATCATTTAACTGAAGAATGGTAGCTGCATCTTCAAAACTTTCGACCCAACTACTGACATTTTCGTGGCTTCGGCCATCAAATTGAGCAACAAAAGATTTGATGTCTTCAATAGTAACATTTATACTACAGTTATGAAATACATTCGACTTGTTTTCAATTGTTCTAAGAATATTATTATTAGCTTATTGAGAAGGAAGTTGTCTCACTGTGGCACCAGAATTGTTTCTTAGTTTCGTTTTATCTCCATTATGATCTACTTCCTTTTATCCCCACCATCCGCATCCTCTAAATCACTTTCGTTTTCACTTTCTTCTAAAATTACATTATTTTTAAGCAATTCTAAATTATTCAGATAAGAAACAATTCGGGTTGCTAAGTCATCTTGTGTGCCAGAGCTATCAATGTATAAAACATTGGCAATGGAAATTAATTCATAAGCCTGAAAATCTTGTTTGATTTTTTCTAGTTTTTCATTAAGTTCTTTACTATTCTCTGCTAAAGAGAAACCACTAAATTGTCTTAACCTTTTTCGATTATTTCTGTCGCGCCCACATCGTTAAATATTATTTTATGTAAGAATTTTATATTATGAGCTTTCTCACTTTTCAGGACATCTTCCATTCCCGGCACATCAGTTAGAAACATAGTTAATAAAATTGAGCAATTCACTCACTTCATATAATGGTAATCCACGATGTTCCTGACTCTATAATCCGGAAACAGAAACGAAAGAAAGTACTTCCATACCATCCAATAGATCACGAATGGTGTCGGCAAAGCGGGAGTACAAACAGGTTATGTCCGATGGATTTTTGGCCACAATTCACGTCTTGACACTTGACATCCAGTATTATTAAAATTTATTCTACAGTCTTTAATAGAGCTGCACACTAGTTACTCACTATTACGCAGTTTCAGTTCAGGTAAATGAGCATACATTCCTATGAGTTTGACGAGATTTTTGTTCAAAACATAGCTCATTATACATCGTAAAATAGTCCAGCACAGCAACAGTAAATCTTCAAAACCGGTAGTAATACAGGAAAGCAGGTAAAATTACAGTTCCTTCGAGTGCTTAAGTGCTATCCCAATTCTGAGAAAATTTTTGTGGGGATTTTAAACGATGAGCAAATTAATTAACGAAAGACATTTTAATTAGGCAAACGATTGTTACATAAATTTAACATTTAAGAGAATTAAAACGTAATGATTCGTCAAAGTTCGTTTTAAACAGAAGCAGCGTCTCTGCTCCCACGTCAATCGTCTATCATCTCAAAACGGTAAGTCCCCTAATTTTGCTTGGCGCTTTCGGAGCTCGTAGAGAGTGACGTCACGGCATCTGGTTCATGGTCTGGTTTTTTTCACAGCTCCAAGCGATCGGCACTACATATATATATATATAATCATAACATAAAAGGAAAATAAATCGACTACTTCATCTTATAGAATAAAATATAACACGCATTGCTGAGAAGTAATTGATAAAAAAAAGCATCTTTTTTTTAAGTACATGGAAGAGAAAAGCAACTTTTATCACTTTAATAAAATTTATATAATTAATTGAAATTATTATGTAAATGATTGATGTAAAATTTTTCATATATAATAATAGAATAACTTAAATAATAATATTGTAAGTATAATAAGAAAATAAAGTAAAACTATGATATGTTACATGTAAAAACTTTCATAATTTTTATTTTAACAAAACTGTGGGAAAGGCACGACCATATTGATAACACACATTTATTACTATTTACAAATATAGATTATTTAGATTACAATTAATGAAATAAATGCGAGCGATCGAGCGACGTCTGCTCCGCTCGCCCCGCTAGTCCTTGTCTTCTCCCGAGGCAGGAACACAGCTGACGCAATGCATACGTCACACAGTAGGGGATTAGGGAATATCATGACATAACATTCCCACATTCGGCCATCATGACCGGAGGCCACCTCGCCTGAAGCAACATAATATATCATCAAATAAAAAAAAATATTATAATATAGCAACATAGGTATGAGAAAAAAATAATCTGTGGATACAAAGCTGAGGATACTTACACAAATGGAGCACAAAAAATGGATTAAACACACCACGCAGTTAACTAAAAATAAAAAGAACATTAGTATGACAAAATGAATTAGAAAGTTGATATGAGGAAAAAAATATTAGAAAGTTCTCAGGTGTCATCTGTCCAAACACAGAAGGACCTATAATGCTGACAGTTTAATAAAAATCAAGTGATACTGTCAATATTTTTGTTGGACCAGGTTTTCATGTATTCAGCACAAGTAGATGTTTTGGATGGTCCGTCGAAAATGCCACTTTTCCACATCATATGTGTCATTTTGTTTGAGCCTGGTGACTTTATAAGGTCCGAAAATTTCTGTTTGAGTTTTAGACCAGGGCCAAACTGAGTTCGTTTGATAGCCACGAGATCATGAAGTTGAAATTTTTGCGCTTGGTTTCGTCGCAAATTATAAGTACGGCGATTTTCGTCTTGCACTTTAGAGATTTGCTGTTTTGCGTCCTTACGGAGATCGTCACGTTGCTGAATGAATGCAGATTTGATCTCCTCGTCGATTAGAGCAGCGATGTTTATGTTTTATTTCGTTTTGCGATTTCATTTTAGTCCCAAAGAGAAGTTCAAAGGGAGTGGAATTGATGCTACGTTGAAAAGTTGAATTAATAATTGTTGGGGCGGGAACATGGCGGTACCATTGCTCAGGTTGGTTAGGAGAGTTAAGAAAGGAGCGATAATAATGGAGTTCAAACGCTCAACTTGACCGTTCGATCGTGGGAGGCCACTGTAATAAGAATTCAGCAAACGTTCTGCCAGCAGCACGAGTTTCTTTGGAAACATTTGAACCAATACAATCAAAAGCTGGAACATCGTCATTTATTGCAAAAATGAAAGATTCAGGAGCAGTTTCAAAGCATTGCTCTGGGAGGTTTTGAAAAAATATATACCGTCTGGTGTAATAGTTAATTTAGCATTTTTAATTACGTCACATCCTACAATAAGAGAAAATTGCATAGAATGATTTGGAACAACTCTAATATTAGCCGGAAAGTCCTGATTATCAATGTTGATAATGGTTTGAAAATAGCCAATAATAGGATTTTCGAGAATCCGAAACCAGTTAACACTCCAGAATTATTTGAAAGTGGTGGGGAACCAAGTTTGAATCCATGTGTTTTCGTTCAGTAATGTGACCTCACTTCCAGTGTCAATTAATCCAGAAACTGTGCTATTGAGTATAACGACAGTTTTACACATATTACCGTGAGAGGTTTGTACTGTAATGGAGTGGAATCGTAAAAACAACTTGTAATTTAGACGTGGGGGTATAATGAAACCCTCAATCGATTTCAGAGGGCAGCTAAAGGTCCCTCCTCATCATAGGAGAAAGAATATACCTAGAGAAAGAAGAAGAATAAACAGAATCGGAGTCCCAGAAACACGGGCGTCCCTTCATCAGCGCATTTCTGCACGTGGTTTATGAACTAGATTTTTATCAGAGTAATTGTAAACACTAGCCGCCTACTTTTACTGAGCCAGGCTATCTGATCGAGCATGAAAAATTAGCGAATTTAAATCATCTCGCGAATCTCGGTGTTCGCTGTCATATAAACACCGGAGCGACTCGAATTCAAATTTATTACTTCCGCGTCAGAAGAAACAACGCGATTTGGGCTTGGCGCCGTGGAGGGAGGGGAAGGGGGAACAGAAGAACTTAGACCTACAGGCGTCGGTGCACTGTCGGTGTTTGAAATTGAATGATCGTCATCGGATAAAAAACTAACATCTAGGGAATTGTAAAAATCCGTCAGATTAGTGAGCGCATGAAAATTTTTTTCACATAAAACATCTTTATTAGTGGAAGCTTCCAAATGCAATAAATTCGCTACACTGATATAAAATCTGATAAAGAAAAATCTTTTAATAGAAGTTCTTTATGTTTTGCCAAATCGAAACTGTCCGGGAACGCGGCAAAATTTCGCATTCTCTTTCGCGAAGAATGATCAAAATCGGAATATCCGAGCACGGTATTAAATAATTTAATAACTCGTGTTGTGCCATATTTAAGAGAATTCGCTATCAATGGGATATCACCTAATTTTAGGGCCATATAGTTCTTAGGGCCATAAACAGTAAAATAGGGACAATATGAATATGAAATAGGGTATGTATGAATGAGAATTTAAACAGTATAAACACAGCTTAAAATCGTAATACTAATAAATTATGAACGAATCAGGGGAAAAATGGGCCTACCTAACTGTCGGGGCAGTCCTTATAATCCGATATATTTCTTGGCCAATCCAATGTAATCCAAAATCGAATTTCGATTTAACGTCCAAAATCAGAAGAACGGACAAGTAGCATGTAACATCATTCACATATGTCGTCCAGCTTGAAGAATATTAAATCGTCATAAAGGCACGTCTTCATTCACATACGTCGTCTGGCTTGAAGAAGAATATTAAATCGTCATAAAGGCACGTCTTGCCTTTGTTAGCTTTCTGAACGTCTTTAGTGATTGCTGGTGTCTAGGGTTCGATTAACGCATGCACAAAAGGCACGGTCGAGCCCCAAAATGTGGGGAAAGGCAACGACCATAGTTGATAACACACATTTATTACTATTTACAAATATAGATTACATTAGGATTACAATTAATGAAATAATATACGAGCGATCGAGCGACGTCTGCTCCGCTCGCCCGCTAGTCCTTGTCTTCTCCCGAAGGCGGGAAACACATGCTGACGCAATGCATACGTCACGCAGTAGGGGATTAGGGAATATCATGACATAACATTTCCCACAAAACTGTTAATTACAGAAATAATAAGACATTTATGGAAAAAATCAGAAAATAACTCAGATGTACTCGAACTCACAGGGCGTTGGTTGAAGGAAAATCTAAATATTTCGACAAATAACTACGAAAAATTGTAAATATAATCGAATGTAAGCAGATGATAATTTAAGCCTTTCTGGTTTGTCAGACTTCTGGGAACATAAGATTATAGTAATTCTTAAACGGCAAAAAATATTCCAGCAGATTTAGTTAATGTTAACAAATGAGGTAAAATAATACATTGCTCTATAGCTTACAATAGCAAATCACTTGTAACAAAGTGAAAAGTTATTCTGTTCATAAAGAAATCAATCGGAAATTACGATCCGAAAGAAATAATGCATCATAACTTGATTAAATTTGTTAGAATAACAACAAAAACTTCAAACGGTTTGCGCTATGTCAGTAAATTAAACGCTGAAAATAGCAGCCGCTATTAACATGTGATTTCCATTGGCAATTTCATTGGCTGTGGCGAAATATGTCAACGATGACAATGTATCCTGTCATGCACAATGATCATGCCCCAGAAATGTTTCCGTGTGTACACAGAATTGGCGCAGATGCCGCCGACTTGCTGAGATACTTATTTGGAGATATGTCTCCTCACGTAGACGGGACTTTACATATAGCACATTCACACAAAATCGCTCCAGGTTAACACTTACGTGCCATAATGGTGCCCCCTCATCCCTCATAAAGATACTGGCACTTCTAAGTAGGCTTGTGTTCAAAAAGACATAAAAGGTGCGGGTAACTTTATGTCTGGGCATCGCTGTGAAAGTAAGATTTTAGTTTGCTACTTTATACTACAAAATAAACAAAAACTCAGCATCGTAATATCATAATTAATTGCAGTAATTAAGATGTTCTTAATCGTGAGCAGAATTTCTAACTACCTAACTTTAGGGAATGAAACTCTTATATCTATGAATTATCCAAAGATTTAAACGGAGAAAAAAAAAACAGATCACGTATTGATAACACTGATTTATAACAATATCACTTAATGTGATAGATCAAACAAATTATTAACACAATCGATGCCTTATCTTTTTTTTTCAGCTGGCCTCTTATAGTTTGACTCACGACATAGCGCTAGTAAAGCTGAATGCTCCAGTGTCTTTCAATGACGGAATCCAACCAGCTTGCCTGCCTCATCTAGGTTGGGAAGTGAAGCCTGGATGGCACTGCTATACTACAGGATGGGGAGAAACCAAAGGTAAAAACTATATCTATTTTTGAAGAGAATTTAACCAACACCATACCTAACTATTAGAAATAGTGCTGATCTGACCGTATTATGGATGACTTGGCAAATAAATATCGGTATTTAAATATTACGCAGTATCCGCATGATACACCGTCAATAATACAAGCCAAGACTTTGCTTTGTCACTGCGATACCCTAAGAAGTTCTTCCGAATTTTTCCAGCAAAAAGCAATTTTGAGTGGGTTAAAGAAAGGTGAGAATGGCTTAACTTATTTCGTTTCAGCATCCGTTTTAGATCATTTAGAGTAAGCATATATCTGAATTGTATCAGTTTTGGGGATAGACCTTTTACTATGCAACGTTTCGAAAACAACGTCCATTAGTCCAGTATTACTTTTTATTGTATTTTGCAAAACAAGCTTATTAAATTTTCCGAGAAATGAAGCAAAAGCATAAGAACTAAAAACCTTGTTCGAGGGAAAGCATTTAGAGGAGTTCATAAAGCGTTAGAGCCAAGTGCGGAGAACAACATTTCGATGCGATTGGCAAACAAGAAAGCCGGAATTAGATTTCCCGAGAAATGAAGCAAAAGCATAAGAACTAAAAACCTTGTTCGAGGGAAAGCATTTAGAGGAGTTCATACGGCGTTAGAGCCAAGTGCGGAGAACAACATTTCGATGCGATTGGCAAACAAGAAAGCCGGAATTAAAAATTTACTTCATCTATATTCTGGCGACGGAAATGTCATCGTTGAAAGGATTATCGTCGGATCCAGGTTAACACTTACGTGCCATAATATTTCATCATAACTCATGTATCAATTTATACCAATGCTATCGCATATTTAGGTTTATGTTAAACAAACCGAATATGGCAAAACCACTAGAGCTATCTGAAGGAGGAATGCCACCGTAGAGAACTATCTGACAAATGCAAGTAACGTTTAAATGCACAGTTCATATGCATGACAGTAACGAAATTTAAGAAAATATATGCAAAAAACAATGGCTACCACTTTTATTTTATAAAAATGAATACTTATATAGAAGTTGAAGGAAAAATGCAAAAATTGTAATTTTTGTTCGCGAGTGTTGATCCTCAGTTGTTATCACAGTTTCGCCAACAATATCAGTACTGTCTATCAATGTGCAGAAGTCGTTTGCCATATTCGTTGAGGTGGCAGGCGATCGGATGGATGAAAATGGGGATGTTACAAGCTGACGCTGATAGACTTCTCAATGTCTCTCGTAGTGTCGTCCGCCGACTATCGAATCAGTTGGAATCGGAGGGTTCCGAGTCGAGAAGGCGTATTCCAGGCAGGCCTAGAGTTACAACCCCTGCAGGAGACCGTTATTTAGCTCTTTCGGCCCGAAGGAGGCATTACTGTGCCTCAGCTCATGGCAGATCATTTAGTGGCAACAGGAACAAGATTCTCAGCTACTGCAGTGCGCAGACGTCTGAACAATACAGGTATGTATGTAAGACGACCAGTTGTTTGTGTTCCCTCGATCTGAGGATACAGAGGTGCTCGTTTATGTTGGGCAAGAGAACACGTCTCCTGGACTGGTCAACAGCGGGTGCCTGTTCTCTTCACAGACGAGTCCAGGTTCACACGGAAAGTGATTCAGGTCATCAGCTGATCTGGAGGCATCAACGCACCAGATACAACCAATCCCACATTTTGGAAAGACGCGGTTGCAGAGGTAGTGGAGTAATGGTTTCGGCTGGGATCTTTCTCCCCATATGCCGCTGCTATTGGTCGTGGATTTTTTTTTATGGACGACAATGCGCGACCGCACCGAGCTCCGGTTGCTGAAAAATGTTTTGAGGGTCACAGTATGGAGCAGATGGAATGACCAGCTGAATCCCAGACCTGAATCCGATAGAGCATCTTTCAGACTACCTTGGGAGACAGGTTGCTGCTTTAAGTCCTCCAAAGTCGTTAGACGAGCTTGAACAAGGATTCCGTGTCTGGTAGTTTCTTCCCATTTCACTGACCGACAACTTAACGTCGACACGGAACGTCACTGCCACCAATGCATTTCAGCTAGGGGTGGACACATTCCTTCGAACCCATTTTTTGTAATGTTACCACCCCATGTTTTCTCAAAAAAACCGTGATATACTATTTCTCCAAAACTGGATTTCTCAGCTAAGAGTGCAATTTTTTGTTGTAATTCACGTTTGTGTTAAACTATTCTATGTCGCATTCATTAAAGAACTAATTTCTTGTTTCTATGCTGCTTCATTCTGAATTAGACATAAGAAACATGCTGTTCCTTAACTTTTGGAGATTAGTGTACTATCGGGCATTTATTATTTTTCGAAAAAAGGAAATGGTACTTTTATGTTTCTGGCGTGAAAGAAAATCGTCCCGCACAAATTGCGCTGCGGGGAAAAAATTGTTTTTCCGCCCCAAATTTTGAGAGACGGGTCCGAGGGTCTCCCTCTCCTCCCCTACCATCAGCCTCTCGAGAAGACCTTAGAGAAAGGAATTCTCGAGAAGCCGAATATTTTGTGTCCTCATGCCACACAAACACTGTACATTTACAAACATCCATGCCTTCTCTGGGATTCGAATGAGGGCCGTTTGGTACGGTAGTCAGAGTCACTAACCACTATCGCGGTTAGGCGGGAGAAAACACATAATAATAATAATTTATTTTAATTAGAAAACTTATAATAATAACAAAAATGTTTCAGAAAAATTAAAATATGAAAAAATTACATTTATCTCTTGTACATATTTTCCCACTTCCTTGCATGGCGTTTTTTGCATAGATTTCCTGCATCTGCTGTTAACATTGCATTAAAAGAGATTTCTCTTTCTGTACACTGGCGCAACATAAATCCTACTTTTCCTAGTAGGACTAGCGATAGAAACATATTTTCGACGCCAGAAGATCGATGAAGAAATTTTTAATTCCGACTTTGTTGTTTGGCAATCGCACCGAGCTGTTTTTCTCCGCACCTGGCTCTACCACCATATGAATTCCGCTAAATGCTTTTCCTCGAGCCAGTTTCTAGTTCCTATTCTAACATTCTGCCGACAGTTATTAGCATTACATTTCCGTCATGTACGATTTGACTGCTTGAAAACGCAATCATTGGCGATTTCTTGGCAAAATAGAATATGCTTAGCAGTAGCGGATTGCTTCTGATGATACTCAGTTGGGTTGCACTGCAAAACAGTGGCTAACCCAGAAAGTGAATTCGTAATAAATCGTCATCTACCCGATGAATCTTGGATGGAATATTTAATACAGCTGAACACTGAAACAAATTTATTAATTAATGCACATACAAATTGGATGAGAATACGTATCAGAGTTCGATTGCCCAGTGCCAACAACTGTTAGCTTCCCGGCGCTGGAACAGAACATCGTATTCCATGACGGCAGTCATTGTTTGGCGTTTTATTGGTTAACGTAGTGATGCCATTCTCAACATCCTCCCTTCACCTCTGAGTCGCTGGATAAGCTATTCAAAACTTCCAAGTCTATCAAATTCAGTTTGACTCGCATCTTAACAGTTCTACCAGATTGTGTCATCTTAGTCTTAGGACAGTCATATGCATCAGAAACATCAGCGGGGTCCGGAGACTTCACTAGCGATTGAGATGATCCAGAAACTTCTAAATGATGAGTCATCTGCACTACTGGACATTGAGGACTTTACAGGTGATTGATGTTTGTGACGATCCTTTAGATGATATGAGCTTAACAAGTTATTTTCTTGTATTTCTAGAGGAAAAACGCGTTGTATCGGGCGTACCAAATTATTAGACTGTGATCTTAATCTAATTGTTCTCACTTTGCCGTCTTTTCCAGGCATCAGTTGGCATCCATTTCCAGGCATCACCCCAGCTAGTGGCCAATTCTGTCTTTTTTTAATACATCATCTCCTAGCAAAACAACTCATACTTGAAACTGTAAATTTTGCCGTTTGTGAACAAGCAGTCCCAAGTATTCCTTTTGGAAACGTAATCGAAGTTCTTCCATCAATTTTCCGCGAAATCTTATTCTTTTTTCTAAGATGGTTGGTGTCGATTGTGTCTATATAATTACATCTCAACTGAATCTATAAGACAAAAACATCGCAGAGTAAGCGGAACTAAGTCTTCTGTGTCTTCGAACAAACCAAGTTGAGGATCTTGAATTTATTATTCTTTCACATTAGCACATAATTGCCAGCTCTTGGTAGGTAAGGACAGTTCTGCCCACAATTCTCTTACGAAGTTCTTTGACTATAGTTCGACCGCCTCATCCGCGACCATGAGCGCAAATACGCATGCACCATTCCGACCGAATTATTCTCAAACTAGTGTGGAAGGATGGGGACTTTCTTTCCCTCGAGCATAAAAATTCTCTCTTCCCAGAGGAAAGAAGACTTTCACGTCGAGGCAAGTTACACAACGCCGCTTTTGGACAAGTCTATGTTTTTTTGGCAGAATGTCAGCCAATGTGCGTTTGAGACAGTCGAACTGTACTCGAACAAGTCTTTCCCACCACCCAACCCCACCAGGCAGTATTGGGGGGGGGAATGAATTTCCATGATATCTTCTGTATTTTTGTTTATCGAGATACTTTACTCCAATCAATTTCTGACAAAGTATTATAAGCTTCCCTAAAGTTAGTACCGTTGTCTCTATAAATTACTCTAGGTCTTAGGTCCTAAGATCTGAGGATATCCCTATTGGATGAATTCGAAACCTATCAGTTATATCTGGAATTATTTCTAGTACGTTCGGGCCATTATACAAAAGTTCGTTCCAGGAGCATTTAAAACTTTCTCGGGATGACGCGTCAAAGACTTGTCTGATTTTTGTAGAGATACTGTTAATTACAGGGTGATGAGACAAAAAATGTCCTGTGTCAACATTATGAGCTACCTTTTCAATTATATTCAATTTTTCCTATTCCCGGAAACTCGTAATAATCTCGTAGTTCTTCCAAAAATGCTTTATCTTGTACTCGCTGACACATCCTTTTATGCCGCTTCCAAGCTAAATCTTTATTTGTCGGCAAATCTGTCATATCAGATATTAAAAGGCAGACAAAGTTCATATCTACCGTCTGAAAGAATTTTCGCACTAAATTCTTCCAAACTCTAGAACAGGGGTTCTCAACGGTGGTACGCAAGAGAAAAATAGCTGGTACCCAAACTTGTATTTAAAGCGGCTACTCTCGAGAGACGTTCGGATTACCACTTAAATTCACCATTTTTACTATGTTACCGGCAAAGTATGACACGCCGGCATTCTACAGAATACCACTTAGGTATTTTATAGAATGCCTGGCGTTTTCCGCAAAGTATGAAATGAGTAAGAATTATTATATACTCTACCTAGGCATTGTATATATTACGTAGGCATTCTATAGAATAAAAAATGCTCTTTAGGCAAAATATGACAAAAAGGGTCATGATAAGGCTGTTACATAAAAGACGTTCATTTCTCAAAAATACAAATGTTAATTTGAAAAAATAATGAAAGACTGCCATTAAAAACTTTCATCCAAACTACGTAAAAAAATTAGTTTTATTAAACAAAATTTATGGCTTTCTTATAAAAAAATAAGATATGAACTTGCTTGTTGCACCAAGAAGGGAAATAATTTTACTTTGAATTTCACTAAATTGTGTTTCTTATAAAAAGTAAAACAGGGTCATTAAATGAACTTTACAAAAAAAAAAATTAAAATGTAATTGTTTAAAAAATCTAAAAATTAAATTTAACTTACTTGTTGCAACATGGTAGGCTTGAATGATATTTTAATTTATATTTCATCACTTTTTTCACGCAAAGATTTTTTTAAGTTTTGGTACTTTGTTTAACACATTCACTTGAAGAATCCTTGGCCGCTTCCACTGGACTCAGCAATTGCAACTAACCGGAGAGGAATTTCGCGATTAGGAATATCTTTAATTTTAGAAAAGTTCTTAGGGCATAAAGTGAAAGGTGGCTTCGCATATAGCTGTTTTAAAATCACCTTTTAAAATTTTTTGTTTTGTTACAAAGGAGAGAAAAGAAGTTTTTGTTTTGTTACAAAGGAGAATTTCTAAGCCGGTAGAAATCGTCCTCTGTTACACTCGTTACAAATGCCAAAATATTGCGCGAATCAATTCGGCCGTTATCGACGCCAGAAAACTTTTTTCCCAAATTCGTTTCAATATTTTGGGCATGCATTTCCAAAATTTTTAGAATTGCTTTTTTTAGACTTAATTTTAACTTCGATAGCATTTTCAGTTCTGAAACAAAGAGTGCACAAAATATCCAATTATCATCTTTACTAGCATGGCCACAGAAATTATGAATTTTCATACTACATTTTGCGCATGCATGTGCATCACTGCTTAACTTACTGCAATTTCTTCAGTAAGCATACCATTATCGTGTTGGTTTAATCCACCATCTACAATAATCTCATCTATGCAAAGAGGCTCTTTCTCTTGCATATGCTGATTTGTTTCATCATTTTGCATTGTTTAGAAGCTTTCTAATATTTTTTCTAGCTGCTCCTTTCTATTTATGTCTTTAAAACATTTTCAGGTAGAAAAGAAGTTTTTGTTTTGTTACAAAGGAGAGCACAAGCCATTACAGGCGTTGGTCACTACTAAAGCCGGAAGTGGCGATCACTTTATTATGGACGCTGGGATAGACAATTTACATCCATGCCTTCTCCAGGATTCAATGCCGAGCCATCCAGTACGGCCCTCGGAGTCACTAATAACTTCCCGTCTAGGCAGCCAGAAAAGAAGTTATAAGACCTACTTTAGGTTTTCAACCAAAAAAGGATTCTTGTGGCGTTCTTTTGATTCCAGAATGATAAGCTCAATTTTTCATAAATTGAATGAACAGCTATCCTTCATTCTAATGGCCAGATTTGCTGTTCTGTATCCATGTACTGCACACATGCAGTACCATAAATTGTCTATCCCTGCATAGATCCATGTCCTGCATCCATTGTATTTTCAATATCTTGATTAGCTTTTTCAACATTACCTCGTCTTTGTGAATGGCGAGGCTTTCCGTGAGCGATCTTCATTGCTGACCAAAACTCCTTCAAACTGGTCACTACATTATTAGCAAATTAACTACCATTTTCAGACTTTAATATAGATGGCTCACGAAGCAATGAAAATATGTCCACTAGTTTGTAGGCTACTTCTGTTTGATATCAGAGCCTTCAGAATCACAAATTTTACGAGATGATCTTCATACATCATTTAATATACGTAGATTTAATACACTACTATAAAGAATACAATAAATTTGTATTCTCTATCTGGCCGAGACTGGAAATCAATAAGGTCTACCTGGCAACACGAATTAAATTCAGAAGAAAATCATAAGTTTCACAACAATGCCCTTTTCAATACTTTTTTGTTTTTCCTGACAGGGATCACAATGGTAGATTTACAGTTTAACATCTTTACGCGTAACGTTTTCGTATTTGGTTGAAAATTCTTACAAAATTCCATCACGTTCTCTGTGTTCAATAGCCAAATGAGTTTCATAAAGTACGAGAAATAACTCAGTGTTCGTGATATAATACTGTATAGTAGTGACGCCTTCTCCAACAGTGCAAGCTGTTTTGTTTTCCACAAACATCATAGCATAGCATAGGTATTCAGCGACCAATAGTACCGTGCTTCCTTCTCAGTAATGTTTTTGGTTATTTTTTACATAATTTATTAACTTCTAATAAGTACTTTCAGTTAAGAACAAACTGTTTTTTGCAGCATAAACTCGAAGCTTATACAGTTCATCTTTGTATCCTTTCATTGCATGTCTATTGACTGTGACTCCTTTGCCATCACTATATTTTGCTCTTCCATTTTTATGCAGCAAAAATAAAGCGCAAAATGCAAATGGTAAATTCTGAACTTCAGCGAAGGAATAAAAGTTACGTGCCTTGCCATGTGATATTCAAAAGGAGGGGCGGAGAATCGAAGACACATTTCATACTTTGCTGGTTTATCATTTGGCATTACATAGAATGTCTAGGTAACATGTGAAATGTTTAATCTTTTCATACATTGGCGGGACAGTTTTCGGCATTCTATAAAATGCCCAGGTATTCCATAGAAGGACAAATTTCATACTTTGCAAGTAACAACTGCATCTTTTGGAAATATGAATTGTTTTAGTATGCATCGCTAAGTCTAGCGACTTATCGAGATTCTGGCGATTTTAATAGTACTGTTGCCTTTTATATGGCAACTTTATGAGGACTCAATTATATATAGCACACTTTAATTTGTGAATGTAACTTCTTTTATAAAAAAAAATTAAGCGATTCTTTTAATGAAATCTTGTTTTCTTTCCTCAGGATCGGGATCTTCAGACGTACTCAAACAAGTGCCACAAATCGTGCAACATCCAGACGACTGCCAATTCGATAATGAAACACAAATCTGCGTAGAGAAAGAACAAAACTCTCCATGCCACGTAAGAAATTACTAGTAGAATAAATAAAATTTCGGGATAAGATTTTTATTCTGGGAATTATATATCTTTATTTCCTTAAGATTCGTGTATGGAAAAGTAATGCTGCGATTCTTCAGCAGCAGTTCTCTTTAAACGTTTAGATCTTATCCACACGCTTTCCCATTTTCTCCGCAGAGGGTGTTTACACATTTTTAGAACGATTTGGGGATCATTTATTTAATGTATAATATGCAAAGAGTGTTTTTTTAAATGTTCGAACCTTTATTCTGAACTATAATCATGATCATCTACTATCATGATTTCCACTATAGAAAGACTTTTCCTAAAATTTCGAGGAGTATTGATTTCCATTCCTCTTCTACTACTGTTCAGAGTCCATTAATCGTGGTGGTTTAACTCTTAGTAAGAGCTCTTTTCAAAAGACCAAAGATATAATAGTCCACAGGTGGAAAAATCAGTGAACTTCCCAGGAATACGTTGAAAAGGTACATATGCAATACCTGAGACAGTCTTCATTTTTTCCCCAACGTATGCTGTGGTACTTTTAGAAATACGACTTATAGCTTTGTCTTGTTGAAGTTTCACTCTTTGAAAATCATTGGGATAAAGAAATGGAATTTCTTCTCTAAATATCAGACGAAAATCTTTCTATAACACATTTAGTTAGACATAGATTTACACACATAGATTTTAAAATTTTTCGTGTTTCTCACTTCCCATTGTGAGATAATACTGCGACAATCATAAATCCCTTACTGAAATTTCATTTGCATTGTTAAAAACAGGTTTACATATTTTTCTCTTCGTTTTCGATAAAAGTAGAACTTTTTCGTTGCAGTCATTTAGGTAAACCCATGCTTCATCAAGCATCACAATGTATTTCCATTTATCTCCTGCTAAATAGTTTTCACATAGAGTTCTACAAATTGTTTTGCGTTGAGTCATATACCTCGACAAAAGCTGATGAACATTGTGTTTTAGCTTTTCTAAACTATAAATATTGGTTTATTATTTTATTTATTGTTGCTGCAGATGTCTTTAAATACCTGGGAATTAATTTCTGCATAGGTGGATTTTCTCTTGTTACCAACGATTAACTTAAAAAAAACAATATGTACCTCTTTTCAGGTATTTGTGTGAATTCTTCTTTCTAAGAAGTAATAACTGACGGTTCTTTTCTTTTCGATTAAAATTATTCCTTATTTTGCATTTATTTTAATACCATTTTTTTCACAGCTTTTTTGAATTATGGAACGTGAATATTTCTCTTTGCAAAAAGCAGAAACATATCTTTCAATCCACAGCTTGTTTACATGCGACATTTTGAAAGAATAAACTTTAAAGTAGCATGCGTTCTCACTTCAAATAATAAGCCGTTGCCAGAAACGTTTTAGTCTAAAAAAAAACTACTTTATTTCTTAATTCTTCATCGAAATAATTCTAAAAATGTGTAAACACCCTTTGTATTTTAGTGGCAGCAAAAAAGGCCCTTTGTTTTGTATTTCTTTAACATTTTTTTATCTGACAAATTCGTACCAGATATAATATGCAGTAATTTTTGCTTTCAAGTACAAAATAGCCATCGGCCTATGTAACATTTTTTTTCGTATCTAAACATGCTTTTTCACCCAGCGGGCAGAAAAACTCCGCAGACAAAAACACATGAAGATAGGAGGAGAGAAATCGCGTTAAAGGATGTCAACATCCTTATACAAGTCAGCGGCTGCTCGTAAAGACAGAAACCTTCATAAAGGTGCCCAGGCATAAGGGTACGCATATCCTTATAAAGATTCAGTTCCTAACTTGAAAAAAGCAACTCGATAAATGTGGGACCACAGATATGCAAGTCAAATTTTCGTTTACATGAGTGATTAATTAATTAAGCAAGGGATTAAACAAATCTTCGCCATTTTTCATGAAAAACGGGGACTTTTCATAAGAATGCCCAGACCTTTACAAACAACGCTAAATGTCATAAGCCTTTATGAAAAATAATCGGTTGACATAGAGATGCCCGAAGCTTTATAAAAAAAAAAAAAAAAAGGTGGATTGACAGAAATGTACTCGCAGCTTCACGAAAAATGTTAGATTGGCATAAATGTGCCGATGTTTTTGTCACCCAGTATTTCAGACTTTGTCTATCAGAAAGGGATTCGAGTACTTCAATAAAATAAATATTATTTGCATCAAAATGACAAACAGCTATGTATACTATAAAAGTGAAAAGACTGCCTATCGTTCTCTCTCTCTCTCTTTTTTTTTTTTTTTTTGATATTTTTCATTTTGAATGAATATAGACCGTAAATTTAATACAATATTTATGACCGGTATTCTATTAAATGTTAAATTTCTTATAAATTCTATGTAATGGTCTAAATATTTTTGTTTCTCCTTGAAAGAAAAAGATTTCAGAAATTTATTTCTGTTGTTACTAAGGAAAAGACATAGCGGAAACTTGAGCATTTTTTTAATTCTGAAATATAATTCCTAGAAGTCAGTTTAAAATACAACTGTGAATTTTCTTCACATTTGCTGTAAGTATAACCAACTATGAGATGAATCTTGAAAGTAAAAAATGATTAATAATTACTTACGATGTACAAATGAATTGCATTAACGAAATCTTATCATACTGTGTACAGCACAAAGTAATGCAAAATTTTGATAACGTCATCAATGATTTTTATGACATTAAAGCATAAGAAATGTATCTCAATTTACAAAATTGAAATTAAAATAATATTTTCATTCATTTTCTTACATCGTTTTACAGCAATTTTGGTGAGAAATGAAAAGAGTCGCAAATTCAAATCACCATAGGTGAAAAAAAGTGCTTTATCTACCTCTTTGGTTTTACTAAAGTTGCTGGTTTCCCATTTCAGATCTAGTCATACATTCATTCATGTCCCATTATATAACGGCATGTTACCCTGATAATACAGCATCACTCGTTTAATCAGCTTTGTTGCCTTATAAACTGCAACTAAGCTATTGCTATTCTATGCGACAAAATATTGTTAAACTGACTGCGACGGTTATTTGAAAGTTTCATCACCAAAACACTTTCAGTTCATAGACCTTATAAGAGATATACTAACCCAGTGGGCAGGGCGCGCGTCACCCACACGTCCGCAAGAAGGAATAGGGATGGTCTGGTTTACTTTAACATAGAAACCCATGGCGTTTGTATCACTTGTTTTTAATTATTAAATGTCATACATTGAATAAGTGATGTAATTATGAAAGTCACAGTTTTTTCAAATAAAATTTAATATATCTCTTTAAAGCACTTTTTACTGCATTTTGCGCATTCTTTTCACGCATAATTCTTGTATAAACATCTTTGGTAAAAACTCCAAACACAAAATTTATGAACTTACGTCTGAGTACAAATAAAGCAAAATTAAATAAGATTGATGGTACATGAAGCTTTGAAACATATAAAGAAAAATTAAACAAGATCTGATATATATTTTTAATTTTATTAGCATTTTCAGGCAGTGGTTTTTAAAATTATTATAACATTGCAAGATGATCATTTATTTAATTATTAACATCATATAATGATTATTTATTTTAATAACTCATAAAATTCGGATCATAAACTTTTCTCAGTGGAATTAAAAAATAAATAAGAGCTGGAAGCACTCAGATTTTATGTTACGCAACGCTTTTTGTGTTACCTCTACTTAATGAATAACATGTTCTTCGCACGTAAACCACATAAAATTCAATTCAACAGCAGTATCACAAAATATTCAAAAACAGCGTATCTTTAGAATTTCCACGCTGGAGATAAAAATGTTATTTTCCGTACAGTGTTGCTATTGCTCGCTTTGAACTTGTTGAGTTTGTTAACCAAAAATTCTTTAAAGTTTTACAAAATATGAAATGGATTAAAACAAATTCGAAATTCGGCTGTTCGGGTGGAAGATTACGTTATTCAAAATTCGATGGGTCTAGATACCATCGTTTTTTCACAGTGCGAGAAACATACATGTATTCATGCAGATTCTTCATTATTTAATTTCTTTAAATATAATACAAGGCGATAATATTTTGTGGCAACAATTTGCAAAGTGAAACAGACGTTTATAATGAAACAGCGCAAAATGCCGTTTCGAAGCTAGTAGCCTTTCTGGGCTAATAAATTAAATTCACCGTAAATAAAAAAAAATCTTATGCAGAACTAGAATTAAATTTTAAAAAATAATCACTATAAAATGTTAGCACAATCAATTATTACAGTTTATAATTTCGACATTAGAATAAATGTATAAAAATTATTAAGGTGTTAAAAGTGTTTATCACTATGATGTATTGGGAAATATAATTGAAATAAAACTCCTTTATAAAAAATATGCTATAATATTCACCTATAATCTTAAAAAAAAGCAACACAACTTAGAATTTTAAGCAAAAACTTTCAAAAATTCATTTTAAGGTATTTTAGTATTTTTTACTTATTTACACCAATAAAAAGCATAAAAATTATAAGAAAAAAATTCTTTGTTTGAAATTTTCTATTAGTTCAGAAAATACTATTTTCTAAAAGAAGTAGTTACAAATTTTCTTACAGCATAAGAAAAGCTAAAAAAATAGCCAGGCCTGAAAGCGTGCAGCAGCTTTATAATTATTTGGAAGGTTAATTATGCTTGATAAATATGCTAAATTTTTAAAAATCAATCTCAGTTTCAAAAATTAAAAATATCTAAAAATTCTAATTTGTGAAATGAGGCGCTACAACCAACTTTTTCTTGACAATTATACACACTGCAATAGCCAACCATTGTAAGTTTCTGCAAGTAGTCCCTACTCCTCAGGATGTGGTCAAGGTGACAGGAGGGAATGTGTCAGAAGAGGGAGAAAAACTATTTGGGTTGGTCTATTTCTTATAAGGTCCATGTTTCAGTTTCCTTTGATGTTGTAGCGATCACATGGTCCGAGAGACTTCGTGTAGATAGTTGCTTACTTGCTTGCGTCGCCATCTATTAGTACCA